AGAGCGCTTGCCTTGCATGCCTGAGGCCCTGGGTTCGATTCCTCAGCACCACATAAGCAAAAAAGAAAAAAGCCGGAAATGGCGCTGTGGCTCAAATGGTAGAGCGCTAACCTTGAGCTGAAGAGCTGAGGGACAGCACTCAGGCCCAGAGGTCAGGCCCCATAACCAGACCCAAAAAATAAAAATTAATTAATGTAAACACAAATTAGACTACCAAGCTAAGGGTCAGATGTGGCCCTGAGACAGGCTAACTTACAGGATTTTTTTTTTTTTTTTTGTCGGTCGTGGGGCTTGAACTCTGGGCCTGGGCGCTGTCCTTCAGCTCTTCAACTCAAGGCAAGTGCTCTACCACTTGAGCTACAGCGCCACTTCCGGTTTTCTGGTGGTTTATTGGAGATAGGAGTCTCACGGTCTCTCCTGCCCGGGCTGGCTTTGAACCGCGATCCTCAGATCTCAGCCTCCTGAGTAGTTAGGATTACAGGCGTGAGCCACCAGCGCCCGGCTTACAGGATGTTTTATGGTGTGGATTTCATACAATCGTTAAAACATCAGAAGACACATACAGCTGCAACTCTGTCCTCTATATAATTCAGAACCTGGCGACACAGTCTCAAGCGCTGCTATGCAACACTAGGCTGGAAATGAGTATGGGGTCTTCAGGGGTCTCATTAACACTCTCCCCAACACTCCCCTTCTCCCGTTCCAGGAAACCTGAGCATGTGCACTGTCCACCAGCACAGGACTAGGGAAGGTACTGGGCATGCAAACTCATCTGGACAGGGCAGCCGAGGGCGGGCAGTGAGGCTCCCCATCCCACATGTGCTGGGGTCAGGGCCAAAGGCCAGCATAGAGGGGGTGGGGCAGGACTCACCCATGCTGCTTAAACCTCTCCACATCTTCTCCAGGGTTCCTGCCTCCGATCCAGAGAATCTGGCTGGAACAAGAAACAGTCTTGGAGTTGGAATGTGGCTTAGTGGTAGAGTGCTTGCCTCACATGCATGAAGCCTTGGGTTCAATTCGTCAGCACCACATACACAGAAAAAGCCGGAAGTGACACTGTCGCTCAAGTGGTAGAATGCTGGTCTTGAGCCAGAGAAGCTGAGGACAGTGCCCAGGTGGTGGGTTCAAACCAACACTGGGCAGGAAGGAAAGAAGAAAGGAAAGGAGGGAGGGAGGGAGGGAGGGAGGGAGGAAGGGAGGGAATGTCTTGGAGCCTGTCAGGCACAGGCTCAGCAGAGGCCATTGGGGCCTTCGCCCAACTCACCTGAGCTGCGGGAAGTGTTTGGTGAAGTGTGACAAGACCTCATCAATCTGAATGGCCAGCTCGCGGGTGGGGGTGATGATGATGGCTCCCACCTACCCAGAAGAGAGAAAATGGCCGGTCAGCAGCATGGGGGAGGGGCCCCCCCCACCCCGACTTCCTGGAAGCACAAGGCATGGCACAGGCCAGGAATTAGGGACTAGAGCTGGTGGGCCTCGTGCTTCCATCACCAGATCAACGCCAGCCTTGCCTGGGGTGTCTCCATTTGAAGGTACCTCTATCACGGAATCATGGCATGGTGGCCAACACCACAGTAGCTGGTGTCTGAAGGATGCTCATGTACCAGTCTTTTCCCTCATGTCTGGACCTCCTGAGCTCGGGGACACTTGATGGTGCTTGTAGAACAGGGGGCTGGTTTAAATCAAAGTCATGCCAGGGCTGGGAAGGTGGCTCAGTGGTAGAGCGCTTGCCTTGCATGCCTGAGGCCCTGGGTTCGATTCCTCAGCACCACATAAGATAAAAGAAAAAAGCCAGAAGTGGTGCTGTGGCTCAAGTGGTA